ACAACACACTTAGTAGGCATATTTTCGGACAATATCGACTACAACATTCCCAAACAAGTGAAAATGTGTGAAATGCAGACTTTCGCGTTCTCGATTTGACGTCACATTACCACGGTAGAACAATTTCTCTCTAAACTCGGTCGTGGGCCAAGATGGCTGCCGATTTTCCGTATTTTGACTGTGCACAGAAAAATGAAGATTTGAGCAAATAAAAAAAATTTTTGCACAGAAATACTCCAAACAATACGCTTATTTGGTTAAGCGAAAAAAATTTAGGGTTTAGGTGCACTTTAAATGACATTTCCTTTGTATCGTATCGGTTGAAATTGTGGTTACGATTTAACAGTTACGCATTTGCGTTATGTGTCGAGACGGAAAAACTGATTCGAAGAAAAGTGTTTAATCAAGCCATTTTGGAAAACTTTAGTAAAATGACAGCCTCACCTTGAAATATTCGCCATTGCTTTGAAACTCACATAACTTTCGCGATTACAGGATCGTGGATTGACCCACGAAAACTTGACTCTCAGGTGCATTGTCCTAATGAGGGGAGTCACATAAATCAATCAACTCCTGTATGTGATCAATATGAAAGTTCCTCCTACAACAGGAAAAAGTTTATGTGGAGTCGAGAAGCTATTTCGCGCTATTTTCACTTGCACGCGTCCGGGAAGGAGACCTTTCTCACTCGCGCGTCAGCCCGTTCGATCGCTCCTTACTCGCGCACTCCTCGACTGGAGGTCAATCTTCAGTTATCCTCCACTTTTACGCATTATAGATAATATGAAAGTTATTTGTGCACCGATCGAAAACTCTCTTCCTGCTCGTAAGTTTGTCTGCATTTTTCCGTTTAAAAAATTCTGATGATATCGAATAATCTGAGTTCCCAATTTACATATCGTAATAGTTCTGTCAGAACTTGTCAAAACTGAGTACATTTAATAGCCACTGACCATAAATTTCGAGAATCCGCCGACAGTTGTAAAATTTCGTAATTCGTTTTATTTTTTCTAAAGAACCCTCTTAATGAACCTTTTTCAAAAATTTTATCAAAAAGTACTATCGCGCTTTTTTTTCTCCGAAAATTCTAAAAGTTCAAATACGCCTTAATTAATGGCCGTTGTCCCACTATGCAACTTGGGCAACTTCGTACGCTACAACGCGTCGCAATCCCGCTTTTAAATTTTGCTTACTAGCAGATAGTCCTTTCATCTCTTGGAAAATATTAATTTCTTCTTATGTTGTTGCGTTTAAGTGTCCCTGTCGGAGAAAGTGTTCCGAGGGCCAAAAGTGGGGGTCAACCGACTCGGCTGAAGCTTGGCACAGAAGTTGAGTATGATAAAATATCTCAATAGCCACTTTGACTCACTTCTCTGACCGCCTGATCTGGAGTTTCAGGGGGGGGTCCCATTTGTGGCCTATGGAGCACCAAAAATTCATCCTTCTAGGTGGCATTTTGAAAGTGCTATAAAACTCCATTGGTAAATTGTGCTGCCAAATGAATTTGACTATGGACTCTACTATAGTGGAGCTTTTACCTCAGAAATGTAAATATGTTTTCAAGTGATTAGACAAAGAGGGGCCTGGGCAAAAGTTAGGTCAAATTTGAGGTCAAAATCATCACCCAAAATTGCCATTTTTCAAAGAACCATAACACTCACCTGCCTTCTTGCATAACTTTCATACTAAATCCAGTATGTACTTCAGTGACCTATTTATCAAAATCAGTTGAGAAAAATTTGGCTTATCAAGGTTTGTCAGGTTTTTGGCACAAACTCTCCATGCCCCTCTAAGGCTAAGCAAATTGGAATTTTGAGCATAACTCATGCTATAAACAGACCAAACTCTTGACATAAAGCCTTTATTTTATATTTGGCGAGTGGAAATGAAACATTACTCCAAGAAGCTTACAATTACTCTAAGAAATCCTCTGATTAGCTCTACAAACACCAAGCGGTTTAGCCAAATAAAGTAAAGTAATAAATGAAAACCTAGAAACCATCATAGAGCACAAAATTAATGATGATTTTCAGACCCAGATATGACAATACTTTTAAAGGTACTTGAATTTTCTCTGATCTACATGTTTATTAGGTCATATTTCCATACGTATCATACTCCAAGCATGCAAGTCTCTTTATTTTGTCAAGCCGTTTATTATTTGAAATTAAAGTGACCTTAACCCGGCCTTAACCATTAAGCTAAGCATAAAACCATCGTTAAAAGATGATCCACGTCTGACCTTTGGATAGGCTGAATAGCTCTCGCAAATGCCCATCACTAAGCGAGCATGAAGTTGCATACATAAGATGACGTGACGCAGTGAGCACCGTCCAGGTGACTTGTGATCCACCAGAGATCTCAGGTACTTTAGAACTGAATAAATGAAACCATCCAACAAAGAAGGAATCCACAGTCAGAAGAGCTCAATGACAAAAAATTATTGTCGATGTTTAAATGAAATATTCCACTCGAGACATAAGATGATGCCAATAGGGCCCACCATTTTGGACGTGAGAGTATTAGGACTGGACCGAGTCTCCTTCTCTTCCACTCTTCAAGCGTAGATGTTTGTGTCCTTATCAAGTATTAAAAGTGTAGCGATAAGAAGTTTCAGGAGAATTTACGATGGCGCTTTGTTTCTCTGGAGGGGTAAATGATCAGTGCGGTACCGTTTCATGGGCTCTGCACGAAACAGGAATGACTCCGTTGTTGTCTTGCCATCAGGACATGACTGCTTAGGGTCAGGTGCGTCCAAGGCGATCAGAAGACCGCGCGATGCCAAAGCTACAAGGACGGGGAATTCAACCTCCCGTCCAAAACAATTTTCCTTAATTTTTTCCTATTAAAAGGGTTTAGGACACATTTTTCAAAAGTAGTTTGGCTGTTTTTCAATTCCCTTTTGTATGAAGATTTCGACTTTCGCGAACTCTCTGCCAAGGGAAGATTAGCCAAGGTGTTGCAAAAGCAAAAACTCAGTCAACTACAGTTATTGTGAGAGGTTTTTTTGACGTTGAAATTATAGGTAGTGCTACTACTAAGCCTCCGTATTATGAACTTCTTCTACAGTTAGCAAATTCCTGTGATTACCGCAAGTGATTGTCGATAAACCCGCGTTACTCAAAACTCACTGCAGGTTGCGTGACTCCTCGACTTAGTCCAGTCCTCTCACTCTCACGTCCAAGATGGTGGGCTAGTCGATACAATAGCCATCGCATCTCTAGGTGTTACATGGCATGTTTCATATAAACTGCAAGGCAAAATATTTGTTATCCAGCTCTCCCAACTGTGGATTTCTTATTTACTGCCGAATTATTCGATTTATTAAGCTCTAACGTACCAGGGAAATCGGGTGGATCACAAGTCACCTGAACGCTACTCACTACAACTTGTATGTATCATCCTGCTCTTTTACTGATGCCATAATGCGTATTTTCCAAGAGCTAGCGCGGCTATCGAATGTTCAACGATAGATCTTCTGTTAAGGGTCGTTTTCGTTAAGCTCAATTCATAATGCATCAAAGAATTGGTCTGACAAAATATCATGAGAGACTTTGCATGCTTGTGAGTATAGTATGTATGGAAATATGACCTGGAAAATATAAATCAGAGGAAATTCAAGGATCTGTAAAAAAGATTGTCATATCTAGGTGAGAACATCATCCGTTTGTGTTCTATGATGGTACTAGGTTTTCAAAGGAAAAAAATTACCTTTATTTGTTAAACTCGGCTGTTTGCAAATCAGAGGCCTTTTTAGAGCATTTGTAAGCTATGAGTCGAGGTATTTCTAGGTAATGACACTGAAATGGCTTTATTGTTTCATTTTCACTCACCAAATACAAAAGAAAAGCTTTATGTCAAGAATTTGGTCTGTTTATAGCATGAATTGTGCTCAAAATTCCATTTTTGCTTGGCCTCAAAGGGGCATGCAGAGTCTGTGCTAGAAACCTAGCAAACCTTAATAAGCCAAATTTTTCTCGACTGATTTTGATAAATGGGTCAATTAAGTACAGACTGGATTTGGTA